AAGTATTTGTGTGTACGTCTGGTAACATACTGCATGTGTAAAGGGAGAAATATATATGTTTATCACTTAGAATGTTCGGTAATATGTTTATTGCTTGTGATGTGTCATTATATATATTATATATATATATATATATATATATATATATATATATATATATAATATATATATATATATATATATATATATAATATATATATATATATATATATATATATATATATATATATATATATATATATATATATATATATATATATATATATATATATATATATATATATAATATATATATATAATATATATATATATATATATATATATATATATATATATATATATATATATATATATATATATATATATATATATATATATATATATATATATATATATAGAGAGAGAGAGAGAGAGAGAGAGAGAGAGAGAGAGAGAGAGAGAGAGAGAGAGAGAGAGAGAGAGAGAGAGAGAGAGAGAGAGAGAGAGAGAGAGAGAGAGAGAGAGAGAGAACAGCTTGAGCTACCTCATCCCTCTGTGTGTGTGTATTTTACCTCAAATAAACTTATTTCAATTTTCAATTTTAATTTCAGACGTGAGGTCTTCGGCTTCATTTTGATATGGAGGAGGTAATCCTGGTGGATTAGCATGACAACCTCGTCTGTGACAACCTCGTGACCCCATCACCGATGACCCTAGTTGACCTGCACCCCCCCCCCCCCCCCCCGTGGCTAGCTCCTTTGATGTGTGAATTGTCCATTGTATTGCGCCGACTGTCCGGCGGCGCGCCGCTGTGGCTGTTCTGCTGTGTTCTGCTCTCTTGTTACAATATTATAGATATTTAAAATCTTATGCCTAAGTGCCATTGGTAGACATAACTGAAGGTGGTTGCACAAATCTGAAATTTTCAATTGAGTGCAACAAAGAGTGGGGGGGGGGGTAATGATGTACCTTGTCTTGTCCAATAACACATCCTAATTGGGTGAAATATTACCCAACGTCAAAATATGATGCATCATTAACCGTAGATCCTCGCCAAATTGATGGGATGTTACGTTTTCTGTTCTTAGATCCTCACTTAGGTTAAGTTCGGGCAATTCTTAACATCATTTCTGTAAAGTTGTGACAACTCAAGATTTGTTACTGAATGATAATGGTCCCACCTGATCCATTGATATTTCTCTTGGTTGCAGTCAGAACAAAAATAAATAGTACTGGTCAGTTCTTATTTTTGGAGGCGGTCAGAAGGTAATCCCGTGTTACGGGCTCACCATAGCCCGTGCTACTTGGAACTTTTTGTTCCAGGTAGTGAATCTTAGTGATGATGGGCGTGAGACAGGAATAGGGGGGTTGATCCAGCAGAGTGGAGAAGGCAAAGGGAGTGAGGAATATGGTGGGTGAGAGAGATGAGGAGACGGGTAGAGGAGACTAGGCTAGAGGAGGGTAGAGGAGCAGCAGCGCTACCGAGAAATGTCAAGAGTGAGATAAAGGGACAGGGGGTCACTGAGTAGCCATCAGCTCTCTGTGTCGGTGAGAGGCTGAGAGAGAGAGGGAGGAAAGTGAGAAAGATGAGTAAAAATGAGGATGCGAGAGATCATGGTATACCCCACCACCTGTCCCACAGTCACGTAACACCTGCTGAGGCTACCCGACGGGCTCACCATAGCCCGTGCTACTTGGAGCTTTGTTCCAGGTAGCAAATCTTTAACAACAACAACACCTGCTAAGGCTAGCTGAGGTTAGCGGCCTTCCCCAAGACTGGTGGCCGTGACCCGCCCCTGACGGGCAAGATGTTTCCTTATATCGCTTGTGACAGGCAACATGCACTCTTCACCTGCTGTATATCATCAATGAGGTTCATCCTAGTAGGATGAGGTTCATACTTGTGGCGGTCAAGGCCTTCCAACGGCCGTTCGTCTTCCCGCCAGATTTGACGTTCGTCATTCAAATGTCGCGGGAACTTTTGAATTTGTTGTTACAAATTCTGTGTGTGGCGTAGACCTTGTGGCTCCTCACTGAACACTTTGATATTTTCTTCTCCTACCACCCCTATTCTTTTTGAATGGAAACTCCACAGAAAAATGGGAAAGGAAGATGAACGTTTCGGCTGATCAAGGCCGTTGTCAACACCAGACATGGGGGGTGCCATTGGCGCCAGTGTCTCTTTCAGGCTGCACGCTTACAACATACAGCCCAGCACAGTCCGAATTCCACTAGGGAACACACGTTCGTGTGCCACTGGAGACATTATTGCATTCATAAATCTATGTATCTATGTATTTACGTATGTAGCCTAACATTTTAAAAGCACTACGATCATCTTCTGTGGTTGTTCAATAAATCCCTGAACCGTATGTTTGACAAATCTCTCACCCTGTCCATGGAGGACAGAAGAAAATGTATATATGCTGGTCAGCATTGTAAATGTGTGGACACGTCTGTGGTAGAAAATAATAATAATAAACAAAAAAACTGGAGACAGCGAGGAAGAGAGAGACACATCAGTCTGGTGTTGACAACTGCTTTGGTCGGCCGAAACGTTCATCTTCCTATCCCATTTCTCTGTAGATTTTCCGCATACAAATGATCAGACACATTACACTGTTTATGTAGGGTAGACGTAAATCTGTGTATCTATGTATTTATGTATGTAGGTTAGCTTAGCATTTTAAAAGCACTACAATTACCTTATGTGATTGATTGTTTAATAAATCCCTGAATTATATGAATTATATGTTTAACTGATCTCTTACCCTGTCCATAGAGGACAGAAAATATATATGCTGATTAGTATTGTAAATGTGTGGCCACGTCTGTGGTAGAAAATAATACAAAAAAAACTAGCGAGGCTTCTCTCTCCCTGTTTGTATCTACAGTATCTGTATATGTATCTCAAATGTACAGTTCCACGGGTATTTAAGGGGAGGAACCTGGAGCTAAACTCCGCGTGGTAGGCTACCCACCAACTACACAGCGGCTTGTTTAATGGAGAGAGCACAGCCACCGTCTGCAATTATCAACTTAGCAGAGAGCAAGGTTACCTAATGCGACCTGACCTCTACTCAGCCTGTGAACAATTAACACTTATAAGGTGTGACTTAGAAATGCTATGGGCTGACAGCCTGGCGCCGCAAATATCCTGTGTGTCTGATTCTCGTGGTATGAAATATGAAATACAACCATTAATAGTGTTAAACAATTACATAACTTTGTGTGTACTTTCCAATAATTGTATTAAATTAATCTCATTATGTTTTATATTTTAAAAGCAAAATAAAACAAAATACTAAATATTTTTTTGAGAACTCTGCAGTATTGTTGTCGAGTCTGTGCTATCGTCGGCGAATTTTTACAAAATTCATTTTGTAAATTACATTTACAAATATAGTTGTCCGACTAGAATCGCATAAAGCTCAAATGTAACTAATAAAATAGAGTTTCTTGTGGATATAAAAATAAAAATTATTAATAAAGACAGGAAACTGAGATTGCCAGAAGCCTCTTTCGACAAATGCTTTCAAATTAAATATCTAAAAATCAATTTTTCCTTTTATCTGGACGATGAAGCAAGATGTAGGTGAGGTACTTCAGGTGAGTTACATCAAAGGTGACGCAGTGACCAGTGACCCGGGGTGAGTTACACCAAGGGTGACGCAGTGACCAGTGACCCGGGGTGAGTTACATCAAAGGTGACGCAGTGACCAGTGACCCGGGGTGAGTTACACCAAGGGTGACGCAGTGACCAGTGACCCGGGGTGAGTTACACCAAGGGTGACGCAGTGACCCGGGGTGAGTTACATTCAGAGTGGTTGACAAATGGAATGCATTAGGGGGTGATGTGGTGGAGGCTGACTCCATACACAGTTTCAAGTGTAGATATGACAGAGCCCGATAGGCTCAGGAATCTGTACACCTGTTGATTGACGGTTGAGAGGCGGGACCAAAGAGCCAGAGCTCAACCCCCGCAAACACAACTAGGTGAGTACAACTAGGTGAGTACCAAGGGTGACGCCGTGACCAGTTGCCCGGGGTGAGTTACACCAAGGGTGACGCAGTGACCAGTGTCCCGGGGTGAGTTACACCAAGGGTGACGCAGTGACCAGTGTCCCGGGGTGAGTTACACCAAGGGTGACGCAGTGACCAGTGTCCCGGGGTGAGTTACACCAAGGGTGACGCAGTGACCAGTGGCCCGTGGGTGAGTTACACCAAGGGTGACGCAGTGACCAGTGTCCCGGGGTGAGTTACACCAAGGGTGACGCAGTGACCAGTGTCCCGGGGTGAGTTACACCAAGGGTGACGCAGTGACCAGTGGCCCGTGGGTGAGTTACACCAAGGGTGACGTAGTGACCAGTGTCCCGGGGTGAGTTACACCAAGGGTGACGCAGTGACCAGTGTCCCGGGGTGAGTTACACCAAGGGTGACGCAGTGACCAGTGGCCCGTGGTTGAGTTACACCAAGGGTGACGCAGTGACCAGTGTCCCGGGGTGAGTTACACCAAGGGTGACGCAGTGACCAGTGTCCTGGGGTGAGTTACACCAAGGGTGACGCAGTGATCAGTGTCCCGAGGTGAGTTACACCAAGGGTGACGCAGTGACCCGCCCGAGATGAGTTACACCAAGGGTGACGCGATGACCACGGGTGAGTTACACCAAGGGTGACGCAGTGACCAGTGGCCCGTGGGTGAGTTACACCAAGGGTGACGCAGTGACCAGTGACCAGGGGTGAGTTACACCAAGGGTGACGCAGTGACCAGTGGCCCGTGGGTGAGTTACACCAAGGGTGACGCAGTGACCAGTGTCCCGGGGTGAGTTACACCACGGGTGACGCAGTGACCAGTGGCCGCGGCGCCAGAACGCTCTTGGTGAGCCAATATGTCATCATGTGTGATACGGTTATCAGAGAGAGTGTAATTCCCCAGCCTGGCCTGGCCTGGTGCCAGGTGTATAGCTGCAGGTGACGCCCCCATCACCACCACCACTCAACCATCACTAAGCCAGGTATATAACTAGATACCACCACCCCCACCACTTAGGGAGTTGGATAGACCAAGAAACACATTGAGGAAGGAGAGAGGTGAGAGGCGCCCACAGCAAGGTGAGGAAGGACTATTACAGTCAAGTCCGGCCCACAGCAAGGTGAGGAAGGACTATTCCAGTCAAGTCCGGCCCACAGCAAGGTGAGGAAGGACTATTCCAGTCAAGTCCAATGTGGGAGAGAACGGGAAGGGGAAACAACGAATGAGAGGAGGGAATTCGCTTAAAGTGAACTAGGCTACTAGGGAAACATGGATAAAGTATAGAGAACTACGTATAGAGGATAGCAGACATGCACTAAACACAGAAACTAAGGAATTAGATCGAATTTTGTATTATTCACTCTATAACAGTCGGGAAAAAAAATAAAGCTAAAAAACAAACTTAAATGTTGCTAGTGTATATCTTTCCTCAATCTTTGACGGCTTTGGTTACATTTATTAAACAGTTTACAAGCATAAAAACTTCCCAACCAACTGTTGTTATTGTTGTAAACAGCCTCCTGCTGCTTCGGAGCTCATTAACTGTTTAATAATTGTAAACAAAGCCGCCAAAGATTGAGAAAAGATGTACAGTTTCGTAAGTGCTTGCGTAACTGCTTCGTGAATCTGGCCCTAGATTCTCAAGCCTCTAGTCTTAGGTGACAGGAGTACAATAGCTACCTTTATCCTTGGCACAAACACGAGGCAATCCCGTCATGGACGGGTATCTGGTTGTAAGGCTCATGTGATGCTGTAGTGGCAAGATAAAGCCTCAGTCAAGTTTAGTGCAGGCCCAGTTGTCAAGTGGCCCAGATAATGTGGAGTCACTTCTCAGACATTAGTCACCAAACAAACGTTGTGTACATCAGTTCTTCTCAACGTGGGTGAGGAAGAAACTCACTCACTAACAGTGAGTGAGTTTCACCCACTCAACCGTTAACAGAAAACGGGACATTCTGTCAATTTCGCGAGCCGCTTCCATTTTCTTGTTCGACATTTTTATGGCCTTAGGTAAATTGTCTAAGCCAGATCAAGAGGGGACCGAGAGCTACATCACAACCCTGCAGCCGCTCCTCAGCCTGATACATTTACATTTTACATTTATACATGTTTGTGTTTGAATTAGAAACAGTGAAGTCAATCTTTTAAGAACAGTGGTGGTGAAGAGCAGACACCTGGATGGTGTTCCAGCAGACACCTGGATGGCGTTCCAGCAGACACCTGACTGTCGTTTCAGCATACACCTGACTGTCGTTCCAGCAGACACCTGCATGGCGTTCCAGCAGACACCTGGATGGCGTTCCAGCAGACACCTGGATGGCGTTCCAGCAGACACCTGGATGGCGTTCCAGCAGACACCTGGATGGCGTTCCAGCAGACACCTGGATGGCGTTCCAGCAGACGCAGTACTACACTGAGGCTGTATACTGTCAGTGAAACATGCAGTGTTCCCCCACAGTAACTCTGGCACTAAAGTCTCAAAATATGGCACCAAGTCGGGAAGACTACTATGTGTAGCCACTAAAATAAAAATACAAAAATAATCTCTGCAATAGTGGGGACAATAGAGGCTATATACATTCTGTGAAGCACAATGCAAGCATTGTGCGAGTCTAAACGCGTAGTATACGAGTTTAGTCGCCGGCCAGCCCCCCTCAACCCTTTATATAATACTCACTACCTTATAATACCGCTTAAATACTTAATAAGATACAGTTTAGCAACACACAAATAAACTACACACACACACACATACAGTAACTAAACAGGTGTAGTGGCATTGGACGACCTTCAACAAGGAACTATTATAAAAGGGACTGATTAAGTCAACTTGAAGACATTTGAGACACTTGAATGCCTTGCAAGCTGGATTAACAAGAACGACGTGTATTCCCAGCCAGTCCCCTCTCCTTAGACCAAGGTTGTGGGTACGCTGAGTGCACTTGTACCTTCTATGTCTCCTAGTTTGTGGAGTGTGTCGACAGGTATGGACAGGGTCAGGTACAGAGAAGTGTAGACAGCTATAGACAATCGACTTGAGAATGGTCCAGGACGGACCGAAACGTCGTCGTCCCTTCACCTTCTAGCCACGTTATTGTGACTCTTCGCCTGCAGCTATAAGTCGAGTTTAACAGTGATCTCTAACCTAGTCTACCCTAGCCTAGTCTACCTTAGCCTAGTCTACCTTAGCCTAGTCTACCTTAGCCTAGTCTACCCTAGCCTAGTCTACCCTAGCCTAGTGCGGAGCATAAATGATTACAGTGTATTTACCTTTCTCGGAAATTATTATTTCCTGCGATAACATTTACATTATTATTATAATCATTTATTATTACCGATATTGTATTAATTAATTTATATATAATATGCAATATGAATGTCCCTTTGTTACCATGGCCTGGCTGAGATAGATTTTATGATGTGACTAATCTATAATTCAGACTTATTTTGTGTGAGGCGTTAGGAGGCGTTTCTTCTGCATTTAGATTCCAATTCTTTGTTATAATCGTGAATTTGCACTCTCGACCCGGCCTGTGGTTATAATATTATTTGGGAATTATATTTATAATTACCCTCCTCACGAGCCCAACAATTAGTAAATCTTATGCCGAGTTACATAATAAGTTCGTAATTAAGTAAAGGAATTAATAAGAATCATCTCGCTAGGTTCTTTACTAGGGAAAGCATGCATAGTATTTTCAGCAAACTCCCAACTTTGTTATTAAGTCTGTGAAGATTTTATATCACAAAATTACCTAAGTGAAATTACAGAATGAGAGATACACTTGTGGTATTCCGTCTTCCCAGTACTCTTTGACGTATAACGCTTTGAAACTACTGACAGTTTTGGCCTCCACCACCTTCTGGCCTAACTTGTTCCACCCGTCCACCACTATAATAATATCTGTCACTTATATAACATACCTCTGAAATACGACACAGGTATTTTACCCATGGGCTGGCAGAGGAGTATTTGTAGGTACACAAGACAAAATTTATATAAATCCGCTTGTCACGAATGTATTAACGTTGAAAACAACTGCCCCGAGTGAGGATCGAACTCACGACCTTGAGATTATGAGACTCACGCGCTGCCTACTGCGCCATCGAGGCCCTTGTAAGCGAGTGTGCAAGAAATGTATATATTTATCACGCTGAATGTCTCGTAATATATATATATATATATATATATATATATATATATATATATATATATATATATATATATATATATATATATATATATATATATATATTTATATATGAGCACGTTGTACTGAACGGGGTGAGAATAACTTCAGATACCTCATCCTTTTGTGTGTATTTATACCTCAAACAAATTACTTGAATTTGAATGTGAATGTGAGTATTTACTATTTCTCTCTGCAGAAACGAGCTAAACGAGCTATTAGCACCGCCTTTCTAACCAATCTATTTATCCTCTAATATATTTCCCACGTATATGTATTTCTAACACACACACACACACACACACACACACACACACACACACACACACACACACACACACACACACACACACACACACACACATTTCCAGGAAGCAGCCCGTAGCAGCTGTCTAACTCCCAGGTACCTATTTACTGCTAGGTTAACAGAGGCATCAGGGTGAAAGAAACTCTACCCATTTGTTTCTGCCTCGGCCGGGAATCGAACCTGAGAACCTAGGACTACGATCCCAGAACGTAGAACAGTTTCTTTATTATGCACCCCGCTTTCTTACATTTAAATGGTACAACCATTATATAGCTATAGCTCACTATAGCTATATAGTCACTATAGCTATAGCTCACTATTGCTATATAGTCGTAATGGCTTGGCGCTCTCTCCTGATAGTTCCCTTCCCTTCTTTCACCAACGTGTGAAGCCACCTAGACGGTGGCTTATATGTGCTGAGTTACATAATGAGTTCGTAATTAAGTAAATGGGTGATTAGCTACTCTTGTTATTCTCACAACAATGAGAATAACAGTTATGAACAGAGACAAGAACTCCTCTATCACTTGTACTTCCCAAGTTTTAGTGTACTTGGATATCTACACAGCAACTGGCTGCAGCGTGTAAACACACTTATATGTGTACAATATATTTGATATTGTTTTAATACATTTAATTTCAGGTTCTGAGAACGTGGTGCTGCGGGAAGACCTGTACCAGCTGTGAGTGAGGGATATTAACACCTCTTTGGGCACCTGCTCTGATACGCCATCTTGGTTACTCAAGACAACATAGATACACTCAAGAAACATGGCCACATTCAAGGGGCAAGATTATAAAAAGTTGAGTATACATATTGCTTGCCACAATAGGTCACCTGATCTTGATGTTCTATGAATTCATTTACATAAACTGAAAAAAAAAATCCCCACTTTTTATGTTCTTTCCGTTTTATCACCAAAATTACCGCACAAAATACCTGATTAACTGGATTCACCGCGATACCTTGACATTTTCATCTCCATAATGCAACCCAGCAACAACAACCCGAATCCACCGCCCACTCCACTCTCCCCACTCCCATCCTCACCCCTCATCCACCTCCCCCTTCCCCCCATCCACCACCGAGTGAAAATTCCTACAGTCTGATCAAAGAACATTCATTTTATATGTAATCTGCATGTCACTGATATCCCTCTTCGTTTGTACCGCACCATTCAAGTGTCATACACACCCGTCACCAAGAAAGGTAATGAGGATCTTGCTCTTCTTAAAGCTGTCGCACTTGAAACAGCTGCCTCCTCTATCAAAAACCTACGATCTCACGAGCACTATGTCTACACCGACGGCTCAGTCCATTCCTCAACAGGAGGGACTGCAGCAGCCTGTAAGTTTTATATAAACAATACTTGCACACAGACTGTCAGGTTAAACAACTGGCTGAGTTCTTCACAAACAGAACTAGCTGCGCTGCAACTACCTACCAGTGCACTAAAAAAATACAGGAGGAATAACTTTCTGTGATTCAAAGTCTGCTCTTCAAGCACTTGAAAACTTCTGAAAGATCGACTGAAAGCACTTTATAATAACAGTTATAAATAACTTGTTGCACAGGATAAGGTGTTTTAGAATGTATTTTGAATGGATACCATCTCACATAAATATAACCCAACATAATGATTGATATTGCAGCCAAATTAGCATATAACAAGGACGAAGTTGAATTTGATTGCTGATATAATTCAATGTTATAATATAGGGATGCGTTTCCCCAGGGAGTAGGATCACAGTGTACAAAACACAAAATAAAATGGGTAACAAAGTACAAGTAGAATACAGATGTACTCACCAGACAGGAGCGGAGGGTGTGTGGGGGATGATGGGGTGAAGGGGTAATGTTGCTTGAAGGTAATGTTTACTCAGATAAAGTGCCAGGACTGTTGTCTTGTCTTTTCCATCCTACAGGTTTATATTTTTTGGCTGCTTCATCGGTCCTCTTAAGTTATTGTGCAGGTTTTCAATGACGTTTATAGCTCCCAAATCAATCGTTAGTTGCTATCAAGTTTATCGAGCTTTAACTGACACCATACTCTCGTAACTCCTAAAATAATGAGCATATGCTTCATCATATAGAAGCGAATAAGCACGTTCCTCTTTTGCATGATTTTCAATCCAAACACGAAATAATTTATCTTCCCTCCCCCCTCAAGAAAACGAATGTTTGCAATTCATAACTTTTGCAGCACTTAATGAAGTCACAACATTTACCACTTGTTCTTATACTGTCAGAGTTATTAATAACTGTTCTCACTCACATGTCAGGCCGGGAGCAGTGGCCATACACATAAAACTTGAATTTCACTTCTAAATTGATCATTTTCCTGGTTCACTTGGGTTTTGAGACGACACTATCACTTGATAGTGATAGTGATAGCTTTACATTCGTTTACAGAGGCTGGCTGGCTGGTGAAGTTCTACAGCTGTGAAGGTCAGACGACGCGTCGTTCCCTCACAAGGTACTGTAAACAATGGGGGAGGTCGCTTCAGGTCCGGTGAGCTCCTCAGTCCTCTGCTTATGAAAACGGGGCTAAAAAAATAATTATTGATTTAAAATTTCGCAAACTTATAATACAAAAATATGGACACTGTAATTCAAAAAGTGGTAGTTAAACTTCATTGAACATAAATCGAAGAAGGATAAATAGAAAGATACATAAATAGAGGGACTACAGCACGATAAAATTGACACACACACACACACACACACGTCTTTGGGAATAGGCTATATAGCCTGGCGGAGTATAGCCTGATGATACGATAGCAGGTTTGGGTAAGAGAGTTCACGTGGAGAACAGTATTAAAGCCGCGTATTGATATCCAAAACACGTACATGCACCATGATTTATTGTTATGAATGAACTCCAGTGCCTGCGGGGTCTCAGCTGGCGAATTTTATTGACCTTCAGTCGATATCACTTATATTTCCGGGTTAAAAATGAACTACGTGACTCGATATTTTAACTTTTGTGGCATTAATTCGCAACTAAAAATAAAACAGTGTTGTATTTCGTGCATAGAAACTTTACCATTGTTGTACTTCTTGACCGAGTAATTTCTTGAAGCTAGTAATCTCGACTCGCATTCCATGCATACAGACCAATACTGAATACATTATTAAGTTTGTTAATAAAAAAACAAGAGTAAGAACCTGAAAGTGGACATAAGCCAATATTAACTACAATATTAACTACAATTTACAGTCTCCGTGGTGTAGTGGTAAGACACTCGCCTGGCGTTCCGCGAGCGCTATGTCATGGGTTCGTATCCTGGCCGGGGAGGATTTACTGGGCGCAATTCCTTAACTGTAGCCTCTGTTTAACGCAACAGTAAAATGTGTACTTGGATGAAAAAACGATTCTTCGCGGCAGGGGATCGTATTCCAGGGACCATAGGATTAAGGACTTGCCCGAAACGCTACGCGTACTAGTGGCTCTACAAGAATGTAACAACTCTTGTATATATCTCAAAAAAAAAAAAAAAAAAAAAAAAAAAAGGGCCACACATCAGTATAACAACATCAGCAGAGTATGCAAAATTGTCAAACACAGAATGGCATGTAGAAATCATAGTGAGAAATGTTTCAGAATATCCTGCGACGCTGGTCTGACATGCGCTGTTCTGAAACAGCGCATGTCAGACCAGCTACAGAATATGCAGCGCCAGCATAGATTCCCAGGCTTATAAGCACAAGAAGAAAATAAGGGGGAGGGGGAGGATGTGTTACGGTTTGCATCAATTTAAATTACGTCTCTGGAAATGTCTCCCAGTGCGAGTGAGGACGGTGTAGGTGATTTAGGTCAGTATGATAAAAGCAGATAAGGAAGGTGCAGATGACACTGCTCAGGACACTATACGTGCTGTAATCTGTCCTCTTGAGGGAGCAGTAAGCCAGGCCAATGTGCATATGGACGCCCATAACTTAGTCACTGCAGCTGCCCAGAGCTGCGATACTGAAGATTGTGTTGAGCCTGGGGAGGTGCCCATAGAACAAGTAATTGCTTGTCAACTAGATGTTGAGGATGACCCCATGCGTGATAGTGACAATGGAATGTCTGTGCAGCGGACAACAACACCCTCTTCTGTAATGTCTGGTAGAGTGGGCTAAGGGTCGTGTGAAAGCTGGTTGTGCAAGCGGTCATGTGAAGAAACGTGGGAAAAAAAATAACCCAGAGTATTGATTTGAAACGTATGAAGGATTGTGATGCTAAATTAAAAGTCAGTGAAAAAACTGAGCAGGTGATTGACGTTGAAATTCAGTGTCCAAGGTAAGGAGGAGTTGCCGCAATGTAGCCAGGGGCACAGTACAACCGGTGAGTGGTGATCATGTGAAAGATGACAATGATAAGTAGACACGATACTTAGGAGCTACAAGAATTTTGCCCCAAGAGTGTAACAATTATATGCTGTGCTTACTATATTAACCTGCAATGTTAAATGGGATTCTTGTAATGTTATTTGTCTATTTGTACTCACTGAATTTGTGCGCCCCTTGAGGGACTTGAAGTAGAGGGGGGTAGAAATAGTTTAAGCTGGAAATTGATACTATGGGGATATGTACACCTCAGGAAACAGCTTCGTTAGTGTCAAGTGAGATAAAAAGTAATTTGTTTTTTCTCAAAATGACATTCGGGAAGCCTATTAATTTTAATTGTGCTTCTCTAAACATTAATGGATTCAATTGTAGAAACAAACAGGTGCAACTAACCTCTTTGTTTAAATATCATAAATTGGATGTACTTTTAGTGCAAGAATACAATGTACAAGATGTTAAGAAACTTGACGTGCTGCGTGATTATTTTGAAAGCCTATAAATGCTACGAACCTGTTGAAAGGTGGTACGATGATATTGATTGCTAAATAAGCCCACAAAGAGGTTCTTAATACCGAGATGGATAATAATGGTAATGTTTTATATACGAAGATTTCTTTTTTCTGGACACTATAATTCCTCCGCTTAATGTGTATGCTCCCTCAGGCACCCGCAGGAGCAAAGAAAGGGAGGAATTGTTCTCTAAAGTGGTATTGTATTTTTTCAAACATGATACACGCAATGTTATTTTTGGTGGCGACTTTAATTGTGTCACTTCTGTGAGAGATTGTAGCACTCAGTTACACGTGTATCTCCTGCTTTAATGATACTTTTGAAATATATTGGTCTCAACGGAACAATTTAGCAGTCCCCGTGGTGTAGTTGGTAAGACACTCGCCTGGCGTTCCGCGAGCGCTTTGTCCTGGGTTCGTATCCTGGCCGGGGAGGATTTACTGGGCGTCAATCCTTAACTGTAGCCTCTGTTTAACTCAACAGTAAAATGGGTTGTTAAACGATTTGGCGGGTCGTATTCCGGGGAACATAGGATTAAAAACTTCCCCGAAACGCTATGCGAGCTAGTTCTAAGAATATAAGAACTCTTGTATATATAACTAAATAAATAAAATAAATAACACTAACAGAAGTGTCTCCGAGTACACATATGTTCGCCAGGATTATTATGGTTCTATAGGCTTAATAGAATATATATGCACATATTAAAAGAAAAAGTTAGCTCTTGCAGTACTCTTCCGGTCAGCTGTTCAGATCATTGTTTGGTTGTGATGAAGCTTGTTATTAACGATCAGGTTAAAGTGGGGACAGGGTCATGGAAGCTCATTGTAGTATGTTGCAGAGTAAAGATTATTATTATTATTGCAGAGTATTATTATTATTATTTTAAAGTCTTCTCCAGGTAAGGGAGGGCAGGCGGAGGGGGCAAAGCTGAAAACACAAATGAGTTTAGAAACTTCGTGGTGTCCCTGTAATTATGGCTACCTTAATCAGTGGTGGTTACCTTACCTTGCCTTGCTCTACAGTAACCACCATGTCCCATGTGGTCTAGTGGCTAGGATACCTGGCTTTCACCCAGGAGGCCCGGGTTCGATTCCCGGCATGGGAAGAGTTTTCCTTAGATTATGCTTGGTAAATATGGGTATAAACATCAGAAAGTACAGAAAGTGACCACATTTGGGTCTGTCCTAAACCATTGCAAAGTCGTGTGGTCATAATATTGTCAAAATAATTCACAGACAAAATAATAAGACAAATCTGCACGAGTTATTTCATCTATGATTATACTTTCACGCAAGAATTGGATACCTGATTAACCAGGCTGTGATTTATGCGTCAGGCTGCGAGCAGCCGCGCACAGCAAACAGCTTGGTTGACCAGTCCAGCAACCAGGAGACCTGGTCGAGGACCGGGCCGCAGTGACGTTGAGGCCAGAAATCATCGCAAGGTAACTACCACCTTACGGTACCCTGTTACCTAGTCAGCAAAGGTAAAAGACACCCAGACTAGGTAGGGTGGGACCAGGACACCCTGACTTGGTAACCCTGTTACCTAGTCAACAGTTACCTAGCTGACTAGGTAACCTTGTTACCTAGTCAGCTAGTGCAGATTTGTCTCTGATCTGTGAAGTTTTGTTGGAGTTCTTTGTGAATTAATTTGACAATATTATATCCACACGACTTTGCAATGGTTTAGGACAGACCCAAATGTGGTCACTTTCTGTACTTTCTGATGTTTATACCCATATTTACCAAGCATAATCTAAGGAAAACTCTTCCCATGCCGGGAATCGAACCCGGGCCTCCTGGGTGAAAGCCAGGTATCCTAGCCACTAGACCACATGGGACATGGTGGTTAACTCAGCGCAAGGCAAGGTAAGGTAACCACCACTGATTAAGGTAGCCCTGATTACAGACACACATTGAAGTTCCTCCACTCATTTTTTTTTTTTTTTTTTTTTTTTTTTTTTTTTTTTTTTTTTTTTTAGATATATACAAGAGTTGTTACATTCTTGTACAGCCACTAGTACGCGTAGCGTTTCGGGCAAGTCCTTAATCCTATGGTCCCTGGAATACGATCCCCTGCCGCGAAGAATCGTTTTTTCATCCAAGTACACATTTTACTGTTGCGTTAAACAGAGGCTACAGTTAAGGATTTGCGCCCAGTAAATCCTCCCCGGCCAGGATACGAACCCTTGACATAGCGCTCGCGGAACGCCAGGCGAGTGTCTTACCACTACACCACTGCATTTGTGTTTTCAGTTTCCCGATAATAATTATATAATACAATAATAATTATATAATATTATAATAATAATAATAATTATGAGAACATCAGTAGGATTTGAAGTTTCCAGCAAATCGTTACTATAAGTACTTCCATTTAGGAGGCTGAGCTGCGTACACACACACCAGCGTAGTTCTCCAGCCCGTCCTCCTAAGGCTCCCCAACGTCAAGAAACGGTCGTACTAAAAGTGCCTTATCCAGAGGACCCAAAACAGAAAACGGGACAGTTTGTTAATTTCGCGAGCCGGTAACATTGTGTAGAACGATAATTTTGGGCCTTAGGTAGAGTATACGTCAAAATGGTTTTACTAGGTGGACGAATGAAGTTGTCATCCAGTAATTACACTGAGGTAACCTCCCATGCTCAGCAGAGCGGCCTGGAGTCTCCTGGGTGCTTCAGCAACCCGTCCTCTTAAAAATAACGTCACTTTTGGCTCGTATGCGCACTATGCCCAAATTTGGACGTAATTTGAAATGAAATCGACTCACAAAAGTGACGTACTGTTCCGTTTTCTGTTTGAGTCGTCCGGCCTGATGGTCAACACCCCACAACTCTGCACTCATTACTAATACTCAGAAAGCAGTGTTTTGATTTGTTTCAGAGGAATTACTGTGTTTCTTTTCCCCACCTCCATGCAACATCCCCCACTCTCCTTTCCCCTCCCTGTAACTCTCCTCTCTCCCTCTCTGTAACAGTGTAAAGGAGGAAATGTATATGTTTATCTCTCAGAATGTTTGGTAATATGTTTATTGTTTGTGATGTGTGTCTATGTATGTATTAACACGATGTACTGAACGGGGTGAGAATAGCTTGAGCTACCTCATCCCTTTATGTGTATTTTACCTCAATAAATTTATTTCAATTTCAATTTCACTGTAACAATCCCCCCTCCCCCGTCTTGCTCTATGTGTAACCTCCTTCTCCCTGTAACACCCTTACCCTTCCTGTAACCCCCCTCCTCCCCCCCCCCCCCTCCCCTCAGGCGGAATGTTATGCAACATTTTACACACTCGGGAAAGTCTGAATTCCAAAGCAGTGTTGTTTATTTTGTGTCATTACAAATACCTCAGCATACTTGTGTCTTTTCATATACATTTATATTTACTTATTTATTTATTTAGTTATGTAGATGTAAATATATTTGAAGAGAAACGATGTTTT